ATAGAAAAAAGAGACAACTTTGTTGCCGAATATACCAAGACTACACGAATAAGCCACATAAACATACATCAACATGGGCGACGAGAACGAGTCGAAGTCGGGAACCATCTACTCCCGCAACAAGGAAGACACAATCGAGGCCGAGACGCTTCTCTGGCGCGCCATGTGCGACAACAAGCCCAAGGCCCTCCGCAAGTACCTCGACAAGGACGCCGTCCTCTCCCACCCGGGCGACAAGGTCTACTCACCGAAATCGAAGCCCACCCTGCAAGAGCACCTTGACGACTGGGAACCCTGGACGGCATACCGCATCCAAGACGACCCTGAGTTCGTCGAGATCGACCTGATGAGCTCGAGTTTGGTCTACAAAGTCACCGCATGGCGCCAGAAGGGAAAGAAGCTGGTCGCGACCGAGGGCATCTGCAACAGTGTATGGAAGCAGGAGCCTGGCGGCGAGTGGACATGCTGCTGCCACCACATGAGTCTCATTTGATCGACCATGGGTTAGAGGGATGAACGACTAGCATGTACAATTGACTATGCATGGACGTGTAAGAGGGATGGAGACCGGCGTTTTGTAAGACTAGCGACATGGCTCGCGGGCGCTTGATGATTTTCGGTTTCTTAGTTAGTCTGAGGTACAGCTTTTAATGAACTTGCATTCATTTGACATGAGAACGAAGCCCGGACCGAGCTGTAGGCGGGAGCTTGTGGATGCGACCATGCACAAGAAACGTATCAATTGATTGTGACTTGTACTTACATGTTGTCGGGGCGCCTTCCTCAGCAGGTGCCAGACCGGCAGGCTTCACTCTACACATCAAAGCTGTACAGCAACCGAGCGCAACCAACATGTGCTATTAAGGTTTGTGTTTCTTGTGGTTGCCGAGGCCTAGCTGACCAAACTACCAGCAAGGTCGATGAACATTGCGTGGACTATGTCTACAGGGTAGCGGAACAGTAGTAGGTAATTGACAAAGGAGGGAAGGGTGCTGGCGGACAGATGATGGTTTGGAGGTAGGTAAGGGGAGATCGAAGGACAAAGGTAAAGATCACAAATGAAGACATCGTATGGGATAGCCCAATCTAAATACAAAGAATTGCGTCTCCAGCCCACTTGGGCTCAGCATCCTCGCAATGGAGGAAGTTCCCAGGTAACACCGCGGGGAGGTTTGGAGTCCGTCTTCGTTACCCAGAGAAGTAGTGATAGGCTCACCGGGGCCATAGCGGAAGCTGAGGAGGAAGGCTCAGCCAGGAGGGAGAGTTGGGGGATAGAGTGAGGAAGATTTGTTTTGTTTTGTTTCTGAGCATTCTTTGTTCTTTTCTTCGTTCCTGTTTTTGCTTTATTTCATTTTTTGTTCATCTGGTATTTGCTTGTTTCTGGGAGTTCTTGCTCTTGCCTTTTTTTTTTTTGTTCTTGTCCTTTTTTGTTTCTTTTCTTTTGACTTGTCGTTTGTTTTTCTTGTAAATAAGAGAGACGGAGATAGGGAGGGAGAGAGAAGGAGATAGAGGAGAGAGAGACGAAGATGGAAGGGAGAGTTTGACGTAGGAATAAATGACAATAGATAGCAATAGAGAAGAAAAGACATTGGAAGAAATGGCAGTAAAGTTATAAATGTGAAGAAGATAGGTAAAGTAGGAAGAAATGACAGTGAATGGTAAGAGGCGACAATAAATAAGAAGAAGTGAAAACAAATAGCAGGAAATAGCAGTAGATGTGAAGACGAGATGTAGAAAGAAGTGGCAGTAAATGGTAAGAAATGGAAGTAGATGGAAAGAAATCGCAGTAGATGGTAAGAGTGGCAGTAAATGGTAAGATATGACAGTAGATGTGTTGAAGAGATGTAGACAAAAATAGCAAGGGATGTGAAGACATGGAAAATAGCAGTAGATAGTAATAAATGGCAGTAAATGGTAAGACTGGCAGTAAGTGGTAACATATAGTAGTAAATGTGAAGGAGAGATGTAGAAAGAAAGAAATAAATGGCAGGAAATGGGAGTGTAGTTAAGAAATAGCAGTAGATGGTAAGAAGTGGCAGCAGATAGTAATATACATGAAGAGACGTGTGAGGGAAGTCGGGAGGTAAGAAGGTAGAGAGTTGGGAGGTGGAGAGTTGGGAGGTAGAGAGTTGGGAGGTAGAGAGTGGGGAGGTAAGGAGGTAGAGTGGGTGGATAAGTATGTTGGATAAAGATGTTGAGTAAGGATGTTGAGTAAGAATCATGGAGAGATTGGAAGGGAAGTGAGAGTGAGTGAGACTGGGTTTATATATATTCTGGGAGAGGGGGAAATGACAGGAAAGGCGTAGAGGTAGCTGACACGAAACGAAGGGCTGGCTGGATTGGGATGAGGCAAGGACAAGGTTCAAGAGATGAAGGGGTGGCAGGACGGAAAGGTGAAAAATGTGCCAGGGTAAAACGGAAGAAGAGTTGCGGAGTTGAAAATACAGAGGGGTTGAAAAGGAGATTTGCGTTCCTGGCCCACCTGGCTTAGCATTCACCGAAGATGAGGTTCCCAGGCAACATCACAGGGAGCTTCGGAGTCCGGCTCCGTCGCCCTGAGAAGTAGTGTTGTGACACACCGAAAAGCCATAGGTAACCATAGGACGGCCTTTTTGGTTTTGGCGGTCTCTGGGTTTCTGGCCTGTTTTGTGGTTGTTGCGTTTTGGGAGGGACTCGCGGTTGGACTTCTACCAATTCTATTCCACTGAGCTGGCCGGATTTGAACGAAATACAAAATCACCCGGCGTGAAGACGAGTGCCGTCGAACGACCATACAGATCTTGTCTTCCGGAGGGCGGGTCCGAGAAACCCAGGGAAACTACATTTCTGCGAGTGCCGTTACGGTGGCGGCGTCCATTTATCGCGTAAACCTTGAACCTGTCATCTACTTCAAAGTCCCTTGGTTGGGTCATGCCAAGTGACAATACGAGGCTGGAAGTTTGAATCTGGAGCGGTCCGGAGCTTATTTCAGCAAAAGCTATGTGGAATCTCAAGTCTTTATGCACAATTTGGACCTATCTGTTCGACCTGCATGGTTTCCTGGTATGTGTTGTTCGGTGTCCGCTTGCTGGCCTGTACTGTGCACTCGCTACCTGGACGATTAGCATAGAACCCAAAGGAAATTTAGGAACTTGACTGGGGACCTCTGCAGATTTAAGTCAACTTGAAAGGTCTCTACATTGAGCGTGTCGAACGTCTAGAGGTCAATCCGATACTTCGATGACTCACTGACGCGCTTGCTCATGTGACCTTGGCCGGAACCAGGTTGGTCTACCAGATAATCTGGCCAAGGTTTGCTCCAGGTGGTTGCTTTCAACCTTGCTTGACAACTATCGCCAGGGACAAATGGGTCGACGGCGTCTGTGCCTGGAACTTAGTTGAGTCTATTTTCCCTTCATCTTGGGAAGGGATCGAGCCTGGCTCTTCACCCAGATTTTAGAGCAGCTGATGGGGTTGCAGAACTCTAAGAGTGCGGACTTGACCTGTGAAGAGTCTGCTAGAATGCTCTGGAGGTTCCAGACAGGTAACCGGTTGTCATCAGGGCCATGTTGTATTTCTAATCAACGCATACTAGCACACTCTTGCCATATGACGACGTCAAACTCTGTATGGCATGAAAGCGTCCTATTCGAAGATACCGATTCCGTATCCATCTGCCCCTTTCTTATCTTTGTGTCCATTAAGGCCAACAATGTCCCCATCAGATTTCCGCTTGTTAGAAGACCTCTCACCCAGGACTTGAACGTCAGGTCCATCATCGTTGACCAACTCAGGTCTCCACCCTGTGCCACTGCCAAGGTTGCTCACACCCGCCGGGTTCGTCTCCGTGATGTGCGGGCCCCTCTCGCAACCCTCGACGTTCCCATTCCTCTCGCAGCAACTCCACTTGAAACCGTCCGGCTTGTCTTCTTTCCAGCACGGGTCATCATCCAACTGTTCCCAGTCGTTCTCGTCCCAGATGTCAATCGAATCCCATTCTTTACTAGACTCATCCAGTTCAAACTCTCCTGTAAAATGTTGTAAGTCGACGATGTTCGTGCTCGCTGAAAGGTCACGTACCTGGATGGTATTTACAAGCATAGGGTTCTTGCTTGTCGCCTTCAACTCGCTGGTGACATCGCCTGCAAACCAAGCTCGCAGGCTTCGCAGACCCGCTAGTCGTTGCCATGGCCGAAATTTTTGCCTGACTTCCAAGAAGTTGCCGTGCCATCTCAACGGCCTTCTTCCTGGTCTCCCGCTCCCCACACAGCGAGATCAGGACCGTTCGCGCCATGCCTTCGGGCATACCCCTGATGACGTCTAGTTCCTGATCCACACTTCCATCCTGGAAAATTGGCATCGCGTCTGTCGCCGCGCTGCGCAAGTAACTATGCTCAACTTGGACTTGAAAAGAAAGTCTGATGGTAACGAGAACCTGTCTCGGAAAAGAATGGATCGCGAAGCGTCAGGGTGGTTTGTCTGCGACGACGAAGCGCGTTGGAGAAGAAAGTTTGACGCGTGAGGGAGAGAGGCCCACCCCGCGACTGTCGGAAATAGCGACTTTTTGGAGGGGAGGCTCGACAACGTTGCTTTTTCCTGACTTTCTTGGGGAAAGTCAGGGGGTCGGTCACACGAGGACGCAACTCTGCTGACATAATGTCTTTATTTAGCTACTTACAACGGCGTACTGTTCAGTTGTAGATGCCATCATCAGCCGAGGCTTGTGGGAGCTACACGATACTTCTGTGACCATGCTCATTGTGTTGTGAATGAGCGTAGTCACTCAGCACAACAAAACGACCTATGAATGACACGAACTTGGGGTCAATGTTCTTGTGTCGCACCTCATGGCGGCCAAAGCCAAAGTCGTAGGCGATGACGTAATGACCACCGCCACACCCGAACAAGATGAACATCTTAGACGTGCGGATCCCTCCGCTGCCATCATCATGTCATCAACATCTATCGAACAAATCCAGACACTACGATAGCCTAAGTATGTGAATAGCCCATCATCCAAGATGGCACCGCAGCCCCCGCCAGAATACAGAGACGTCGACGTTGAACTTGAACCCCTCGACGAACCGCAAACTTTCCAGCATCCGGACTCTCCGCTGCCGTACTTCGACGAGCCTTCGCTGCCAGGTACACCAGACAGGGCCATGGACACAACTCCAAAATGGATGACCACGGCGCAGCCTTGGGGGAAAGCTTTGTCGCGAAGAGCTGTTGACCTCTTGAAGCCGAGGGTTGCCTGGGGCTACATCATCTGGACCTTCATCGGGCTCTATGTGCTCTACTGCCTCATCATCCGATCGCCTCTCTTGGCGTCCAAATTGCCCGGATACTCTGGACGCTACGGTGTTGGCGCGATTGATGTCGAAGTTGCCGTCACATCACCACGGAAAACGAGTGATTTGGTCTTCAGGGACGGCAAGGCTGCCTTCGAGCTCGAGACTGTCCTCTTCACACTCTACTACCCTACGATCAAGGATGTACGAGGGAGACGACCACGTCACTACTGGATTCCCAAGCCTGTCAGCTTAACCGCAGAAGGGTATGCTCGCGCAGCGCACTTCAACAACTTCATCTCGAGACCAATCTTCACGTTTGCATTATGGGCTATTGCTGGGAGTATCACCATCCCGGCCGAGGTGGACGTCCCACTGGTGCCTCTCGACGATAAGTCTGGAGAGAGGTTTCCCGTTGTGGTGTTGTCGCACGGGCAAGCTAGCTCGAGGACGGATTACACGCACTACTGCGGCGAGCTAGCAAGCTCCGGGGTCATCGTAGCCGCGGTTGAGCACCGTGACGGCAGCGGCCCCGGGTCCGTTGTCACCACTCCGAGTGGGGAGAGGAGGGTGATGTATCTCAACAAGAAGGAACTCCGCGGCGGAAAGGAGATGGAAGACGACGATTTCAAGTTTGAGCAGCTCGCCTTCCGCCAGGCGGAGATTGAGGAGACGATTGCCGTGTTGAGATCACTCGATGCCGGCCGTGGCGGAGACATCTTTGAGAGAAACGCCAGAAAAGAGGGCAAGGATCTGGAGCAGTGGGCGAACCGCCTCAACTTCTCGGAGACGGTCATCGCGGGCCACTCGTTCGGTGCCACGGGCGCGTTGCAGGTCCTCCGAGGCGCGACAACGGACGAAAACCCAGCCGTCGGCGGTATCATTCTCGATCCGGGCAAGAGTAGCGGGCGGTTGAACACGGATATCGACGTGCCTATCTTGGTGGTTCACTCGGACTCGTGGTCGAAGAAGGTTACGATGTTCTTTGGGAGGCCGCACTTCGACATCGTGAGAGACATTGTGAAGGATGTGCTCAAGAGGGTTGGCTCCAGTTGGTTCCTGACGAGTATGAAGACGAGCCATCCTAGTGTTACGGACGCGCCGCTGATTGAACCTTTGTTGTTGAGGTGGACGACCGGGGCTACGATTAATGTTAATGAGGGTTTGAGGGAGTATGTGAGAGTTTCGATGGAGTTTCTTGACTTCTTGAGGAATGGCACAAGAGGAGGAGTGCTTTCTGAGGGGCCTACGCATCAGGAATATGGCGAGGACACTCGGACGGAAGAGCAAAAGGAGAGAATTCCGAAGGATGTGATGAAATACTGGGAGATCCACGTCGCGCCACCTCGAGATGAGTAGATCCAAGGTAAAATGAAGATTGTGCTGGGAAGTTCTTACAGTGATTTGTCCATTCAATGTATCGTGAATTGACGCTGGCAGGCAAAGCCTGTATTTTCGGTACAATCACCCTCGTTGGTTGGTGTCTAACCCACTATCGTGGGCCTTGAAGTGCAGTGAACATGGGATGCCTGTCCTGTGTGGCCTGTCTCTGGCAGGACAAGGCGAAGTCTTGCAGACAGATCGTCTAAACACCGCAAGAGCAATGCTGATCTGCGCCCTACCTATCCATAAACCCGCAGCAAGCAGATGTTGAAGCCTCAAATTTGACAAACGAAACATCGTGAGGCCGCCGTCGTCTACGAATATGCCCCGATCCAGTCATCGCAAGCGGATTTGAGATATCAGGCGATTTGATGAGGTGGTTGAGACGAGACAAGACAAGACAAGTGATTCGGATAATATTTCTGCGCTGAGGAATCACCAGTCCAGGGAGGCCCAGACGGTACCGGGGCGCTCAGGAATGCGTGCTGTACCGGCACGGGGAGCACCCGAAGAAAGGGAGACGAACCGGTGGAGTTCTGTTTGGGGGCGTCTTTTGGGGGTCTTGTCGGGGATTGGGGGCGCTCTTCTAGGCTGCTGGAATGACGTGCGGCGGCGCATCGCTTAAAGGACGAGGTTAAAAGATTTGCTGGGTACGGGGGGTTTCGTCGCAAGCGCTGGAGAAACCCTGTCCAGCTGGTTCCCGAGGGGGGGTTGCGTCGCTGAGACAGCGCGATTCCAGGTATTCGGAGGAGATGGGTCGATTTTCTGGCCGCAGTGTCTTATCCGGCTGGGGCTGTTGGTGGTGACGAACTCTGTGTAAGATGGGAGGATGGGGGCGGATTTTGGGCGTTGGTCTTTTTCCTTGGTGTTTCTGATCTTTCTGATTACCGAGTGATTTAGCAGTGTTAGTAGAGGTAAGTAGCGGGTTGTTCTACATGCGCCAGGATTGAAGGGGCGGGCCTTGTTGCGTCCTTGTCGCGTTACACGAGAGTTGCGTGCTAGATCTTTGTGTAACGCGAGATGAGAACCCCATTCGGTGGATATGTCCCTGTTCATGTTCCAAAAAGTCTTCGGATACTGTTTAATCAGATGTTCAAACACAATCAACAACGGACCACTACGTGAAGGGGTGACATTCCATTTCGAATCAAGGCGGTGAAGGATGAATCAATCGCTTCTGGGGGGTCAGACAGGTGAGGCGGACTAATGGGCTTCGCAGGCGAATAGCAAAACGGCTGGGCGGGACGGCGTACCGCTGGCATGGAAAGAGGGTGAGACACGCGCAAAAGACAACCGCTGCGTCGTCTTCCTGCCGGTCGGGCTGCCTCCGCTGACAAAGGGAAGAGAAATTCTCCCTCTTTCCCTTGCTTGGGCTAGCGAGACAGTGTCCAAGACAATGGGGGCCGGTGCAGAAGTAAACGTTCAACGTCAGTGGCCGGATTTCGTGTGCGTTTTACCAGCGTCGACTTAGTTTTTGTGATAGATGACGAGGAAAGACGCGATGGCATGTTCCTGGTTGTGTTGATTCCAGTCTGGTGTCAAGACCAAAGGTAGGGAGAATCTGGCGTGTTTGGGATGGCGGGGGAAACAGTGGTGGTTAGTGGACCAAAATGCTGGGTAATAGGGGACTATCGTGAAGACTCAAGACATTGGGCTAACAAGATGTGGGTGGCGTCCTTCAGCCCAAGACAACAACACAGAGAGATTGATAATCTACCCAACAAGACGCATAATCAGGACGGTAAATCGAGTTTTCAAGTCGGCTCAACTGCCCCATGTCAGCTTCGCTTGCCTCCCTGGGTCTCTCGTCAGCTGTGACATCAACGATTTGACTGGATGTTACTACAGCCTAGTGTCACAGTGTCATCGATATCGACTTCGCATACAGACATATTCTCCGAGTGAAACACATCCAGACCGGTCGTCCATTCCAAAATCAATGACCCGTCAATCTAAGATCAACAAGCAGCCGTCGTCGGCAAAGGCCGGGGTTGATGGCGCGGCTTAACGCACGCCGCCAGCAGTGCAGGGGTGCTTCCGGCTCGGTTAACACTGTTTGCCCAGTGAAGTGATCACAGCCGCATCTAATCACTTGTCGGCTCTCTCTAGCACGAAGGCATCATGCCATCTCTTCACCGAGTATGCCAACGAAGCCGAGGCGCCTTAGATGAGACGGCCGAGATGCATGCCCGGCCACCAATAGCCGCGCCGGACGACGTGCGCGAGTTCTCACCGAACGACCCTCAGACAACTCGGTGTGGCGCCGTCTTTTCTTCTTCCGATCTTGTGGTGTTTAGTCAAAGGCCCTGCCCGGCTGGGCGGAATCTCGTCGCTCATTGACGAATCCCAACAGGCTCGAAATAAGTTTTTGGTGCCCAAAAAGCAAAAGCAAAAAGAAAAAAACGGGGGACCCGACCAAGTCTGCGGCCCCATCGTCCGCCCGCCCCAGGCTAGTTATTTCGAATTTAGAGGACGAAGCCAAGAACAGGATCGGCCCGCTGGCAGGGTGGATGGGCGGCGCACCCGCGTTGTGCTTAACGTGCTTGCTGTCTTCCCTCGACGAGCCTTGGACGAATATGGATGGTCGCATACATGACCAGATCTCGGGGAGGGCAGCCGACTGACCGTGCGGCCGGGACTGCAGTTCGATTTGGGGATTGATGGGACTATGTGTGCGATGTGATTAGTCTGGTTTACGGGAAACAGACGTCTGTTCCTGGATGTTTGGCGATGAGGTCTAACTCTTTGTTGATGTAGTTCGCTTCCCCGAAGGAGACGGTTCATCGAGTCCGGCCAACGGACATTGGCCCTGATCTGGCACTGGCGCTGACCATCTGGCATTGGCGTGTTCGTACCATGTTGGCACTGACTGGCTGGTTGATTGATTGATGGATTGATTGATTGTTGGGCTCTTCTTGATGCTGTTGCTGTTGGAACATGACCCCCCCGGCTTGAGTCCGGTCTGGACGCCTTGATTTTTCTGGTTCCTCTTTGCTGATCTTGCTCCTTTGGCCTGAGTCGTAGGAGGTCCCCTGCCGACTGACTGAATCTCCGATCTTTGACTGGATGAACCGCCAACTGCGGATTATTTTACTGTCGCTACGCGCGCTTTGCGCTTCAAAATCCGCCTGGCCACCCACACAAAAGTGACAAGGTACACACCCCTCCCACCCCCGTTCCCCAAATAATTCCCCATCTTCAAAAATGAAGCTGGAATTCGATTGGATTGACAGCCCTAACTCTTCGTCTCCTCTGCTGCCCGCATCCATGTCCAATGTTCCAATGTTTCCCATGTTCCGCCTTCTCACCCTTCCCACCACCCTCTCTCTCTCTACCAAAGACAGAGGCAAGAATCTCCAGTCTCCAAGGAAAGCGCCCATCCACTCTCCCCAGTTCCCTTGCGACATTGACGCTGCGGCAGACCATCGGTGCCTGCATTTGACCGTCGTACATGACGCCATGCACACCCTTCGTTCCCTTTTCGGGGACTCTTCTCCCCCCCATCCCCGATTCCACACACTCTTTGAGGAAATCAGGGACCTGGGAGGAGGGAAAACCTGCAGTGCAATGCATGAGAAAAGGCACGTACGTACGATACGGATCGGAACATACAGCAGCAACAGGGAAAAGCTGGAGCGGCCCAGATTCCGTCCCGTCCCCGTCCCCGGTCAATCCATCACATCAGTCAGCACGGCCAGCGCAGATTCCCCAGTTTCAATTGAAGAGTCAATCCATCGTGGCGCCCGGAGAACCGTGATTTGCTGGCATGCTCACCACCACTCATCTGATCTGCGAGACATTCAGTGGCATGGGCACCGGACGGCAGAACACGCACGTATGTCGACCTGGCATGATGCTAGATGGCATGGCATGGCCCATGGAAACAGAACAGAACACAACAGCCGTATGTACGGTACATACGGTTCGGATACAGCACATCGCAGCACACGCACACACCCACGATGCATACCCTGTATCCGGGCAGCCAGCCAGCACCGCGGCCGCGCTGCCTGCGTCGTGGCATGTCATTCACTTCACACACACAGTCTGCCATGCTCATGGATGCCCAGCGGGCAGGCTGGGCAAAGAGAAGGTGAGAGAAACCTGTTGACCGTCGGTAACAAAGTCTGTCTCGTCTCGGTCTCTGGTTCGAAATATGACAGAAAATCGTGAATGGTCACGAGCCCGGCCCTGGATCCCTTCCTCGATTGCTCAAACGGGCACCTTGCAGCACGCAAATGCAGCCCTGATGGACCATGTACCTCAATTAAGGCCAAATCGACATGGTCCCCGCAAGGTATTAGTCTGAGTCTGTCTAGTCGCCGCCCGCCGCCGCCGCTCCGCCCGCCGTGCGCCGCCTGCTGCTGCTGCTGCAATGCTGGCTGCTGCGTCTTGCTGCCGCTGCCGTTGCCGTCCCCGTTGCTCGCTCTCTTTCCCCATGCTTGCAATGCTGCTTCTTCTGCTGCTGCTTTCCTATTTGCTGGGCTGGCGGTCACAGTTCTCTCACGTTCCGTGAGGTCATGAACAGACGCCGGTCGGTCGTCGTGGATCGTCCACACACACCAAAAAAGAGCACCCCCATCAACCCATCCCCATCTCCTCCGTCCCGGCAATGCACATGCTGCCACCATGGAACGCTGGAGTCTTTCCACCCCTTCCCAGTTCATGCTCCGTACTCCGTTAATTGCTCCATAACAAAGGCCCCATCAAACAAGTCTTTTGTTGGTCTCGCCCCCCCAAGGGCCGGCCGGCAGAAAAAGGGCCAGAGGGGCCGTCCATCCCAGCCGCCGTATCTGTTGTCGCATATCGGTACGGACGGGGGAAGCCTTCTGACTCTCATTGAACACTTCCACTCACTCCCGTCTTGTTCGCTTTCTGCTCGCCCGCCCGTCAGACTGTCCACTCATCTTCCCACTTCTGTCCTCTTTTGCCCAGTTGCTTCCGTTCCGTCTTATCCACGTTCAACAACCCGCCCTCCGTCCACCACTCACGCAGCCGCGCATCCCCAGTCAACCACCCTTCCCGCTTGCTGCCCATCCATCTCTACACTACACTACCGCCGGCCGTACCATCCGCATCCCCAACGCCTCCACCCCCCTTGAAGACACCTCTTTATTTTTTTTCCCTGGCTAATGCATCCGTGAGCTGACATATCCGGGGAAGGGCTTCCGGCGACTGAACCCAGAACCCAGAAATAACCCCCCAAAAAGAGCCGAGGAGCCTCAAATATCTCTTCCCCCAGAAAATCAAACCCATCCCCATAAACCACCAAAGCCTCGAGCTCACCCTCCACAGGGTGGCGCCATGTCAACGGCAATGGACATCGCAGCATCTTCAGCAACCATCGAGCCGCCGCTCTTCGACTCGGGCATCGAACCGCTCGAAGGGGCTTCCGGCAACACTGCACGCACCATCCTCGTGGCACTGTGCGTGGACGCGAGCACGCGGGAGAAGGCCCTGCGGAACTACTACAGGCTCATGCACTACGAGCAGCAACTCTGCGGACAGGAGGTCATCCGCAACGCCAGCGCCATCACCACCACTATGGGCTCAACCAAGAGGAAAGCCGTCGGGGAACCGAAGATCTGTCTTCAGTGCGATGAGATCTTCACCGAAGACCAGAACCAACTAGGCGCTTGCTGGTACCACTCGGGTAAGAGAATACTTACTTCCTGTTTCGTCCTCTTCTCTCTCTTTTTTTCTGCTCACTTTGTCATCAAGACAGCTGCTATTTTCGTCACTGCCGTACTGCTTGTCTTTTTTCGATGGGGTTTTTGGGTTAGGGGGATGAGATAGTGAGCTTTCTCGGTTACCTGAACTGACCATGACTCGTCTAGGCGAGCTGGAACTAATGGATGAGAGCGCCATCGACCGTGAGCCGGCGGAAATGGCGCTGTACGACCTGGACACGGAGCCCATCCGCGCCAGACACCCGGAGGCATTCCGGTGGTGTTGCTGCCGGGAGACGGGCAAGGCACGGGGCTGCACGCCCGGCCGCCACGAGTCCAACCCGGACAGGAGCAAGAAGGGCCGCGGAGACTTCTCGGACCTCGATGAGGACTCGCTGGATCTCGACGACACATCGTTAGATGACGACGACGACGATGATGACGATGACGACGGCGACTCCTCGGAGCACTCGCCCGGAAGCAGCAACCACGACGACATGCATCATCACCATCAGCAGCAGCAGCAGCAACAACAACCGCAGCAGCATTCGCAAGCCAACGGGCGGCATTGACGGGAGCACCATCCCGCTTGGACCTTTTTTCCAATGACGTTGAAAAAGAGTTGTTTGGATCTGTTTTTAGTTTGGTGTTTCTTTCTCGGTTGTCGCCCAACACGCAATCAGGGGGCGGGCACGGGACGGCACGGCACGAAGAAAAAAAAAGAGGGAAGAGACCAAAGGAAAAAAGTTCTTGCTCGGGCGCACTTCGCTCTCTTGGATCCGAGTTTGATAGACCGGTCAAGGGGAAAAGAATCCGTATTTTTTTTGGGCGTGGTTCTTGTTTCGAGCAATCGGATGGTTCCCGGTCCCTTCCGCGGCGCTGCGGTCTGGTCGGTCAACGGTCACAGCCCAGATACGCGAGATGATGGGCTTTATTGTTGTTGGCAAGGGCATTGGGCACTTGTTGTGTTGGGAGGAGCAGCGACAGACGACACATGGTTTTTAATGATTTTTTTCCTTTCCTTCACTGGGAGGCACAGCATTGGGAATTTGTTCACAAAATGGGCACACACACACAAGTGGCCTTGTTGATGACGGGGAACACAGACACAGACACAGCTCTGGGTGTTGGGAAAGGGGGAGGCAACACACGCATACATGCACACACACACAACGCAAACAGCCATTTTGGAATTTACTTGGACTTTTGTTAGTTGGTCACTTCTTTTTGAGAGGGGGGGAGCGGGGAGTCAGTCATTCTCAGCACAGCGGGAAGCCGATTTCGAGCACGACACTGCGCATACGGCACAGCACATGATTTTTAGTGTGGCACAGAACTCTCACTCGGGGGAGGGCATGGGAAGCGGGCATTTTGGTCATGGGATGGGAGGCAAGGCAAGTCATTGTACCTTATGATTCGAACAACAAAACGAAAGGAGAGGCCAGAGAGACGTAAATTGATCAACGGGGAAGCCCGATTGCGTGTTACACAAGAACCGGGCACACATTGAAGTTTGAACACTCTTGCAGGGGACGAAAAATGAGCTGATCAACCGATGGCAGAGTTTCTGCCGGCACGAGGCAACCCAGTTGCCTCGTCTCCCACAGATTAAAGGACAGCCAGCAGCAGCAGCGACCGCACTTTTGACAGCGTTGCAAATGCAAATCGAGATTCCCAAAGGCGGTGGCGAGATGCATGCCCGACTTGACCCATGCATGCATTCCGCATTTTTTCACGCACACGCACACATGTGGTGAGATGGGATGGGATGGACTTGTTACCCTCTTCCGGATTTCCCTTGTGTGCTCTCCCAGTCAGAATGCGATATCATCTGCAGCGCGCACTCTGCAAGGGACACCGTAAGCAGCCTAGCATAAGACACATCGGGGGCGGCCAATGGGGTTCGGCGGGAAGAGCTGATGGGCAGTTGGCCCTGTTGTGTCGCCGTACGGATAGATGTGTGCTGCCCACCACCACCACCACCGCCGCCGACCGACCCCGGCCCTGCCTCCTGCTCCCCTGCCTCCTGCTCCCCTCCCCGCGGCATGCCAGGCGAGCGACACGCATGCTTACAGGGCCGGTTGGGCGGTAAAGAGAACGGGGGCGCAAGGCACTTTGCATGCTGTCTGTTCGTGCGTCCAATGGGTTCTAGGGGATGGGGGTCCGATTGTGCATGGGCCGGATGCCGGTTCCGTGCCTCCCCGGGGACGACGAACCCTGATCGGCGTTGGGAAGGGGAAAAGCCCAACGGGCGGAAAGGATGAGGTGAGAAGAGAGAGAGAGCGCGTGTGCTGCTGGAGTTGGATGAACGCTCCGACGGATAGTTCCTTTTCTTGCTGCTATTTCCGTCGGGCGGTGGTCAATCAATGCCTAAGTGGTGCCAATCATGTTGATTGGTGTGTGGAACTAGGGTGATGGGACGCGTAAAGATGCTCGCGGAAGCGCGTTGAAGGTTTGCCGCGGTGGAGTCTTGTTTCCCCCTGTTCACCTCTCTTTCGTGTCACCAACAAGTCACAGCCTGCATATCTGTCGAGAAGTCCCATGCGGTCCTGTTCATCCGACGTTGCGTCTAGACCTTTCCAGACGACAATTAAGGTATACCGCTACTTCTCGTCTTACGTCACTTGTCAAATCGAACGTGCATGTACTGACAGATGGATGTAGCTAAGCGGGCGCATGAGGGGCGCATTTGACGCCAAGACACGCGTGAATCCAAGCCGTTCGAGTGCTCACGCAAGGCAGACATGCCCTACCCGTACTATGGCCCGCAAGCGGGTGACATGTCAACGATCTCGCTGGAGCATGCGCAGGCTATCCTGAGATTCCTTTCTCAGGACAGCATCGTCAAGCGAAAGATCCATGATATGCACCAGAACTTGATTGACCAGGATATCGGCAGACGGCTTGAGGTACTGCGGTCAGGGGAACCAGCTAAGCCGCTGGCTATCTGCGTTGATTGCAAGGAGGCTTTTGATGCTGACACGTCTCACCGGGGCGATTGCCGGTATCATGATGGTTCGTGAATTCATCTGGAATCGTTAAACGCGTCATTAACGTGTCCGTTTTCTGGAATAGGAATCCTTGAGCCAGACTATGACGACGATACCTGGGCTGATCACGACGAAAGATGTCACGGCCCCATTGACACAGCTGAAAATCGCGAGATGTACCTGGAGGCGTTTAAATGGGAATGCTGCGACGAACCGGGGGATGCTGAAGGGTGTCAAAGAGGTGCTCATAGGGCTAGTGAGAGCGTGGAGAAATCAGGCGGCCCGGTGGAGGACTATGAGAGCACCGAAGAGGAAGATGACGATGAAGAAGACGAAGAGGAGGAAGTCGAAGCTAGAAACAAAAAGGATGAAGACCCCGAAGTCGTCATTGTGGGAGAAAGACAAGTTGTCAACAAGCGCAAAGCTGATGACAGCTTTGAAGTGTCCGTCTATGCCCAGAAGGCCAAAAGGGGTTGGTGAATCGGCGTTCGCAGGGCTATGGACGCTTATAGCCATACCGGCTCGGAGAGTTGCTGCATACTTGCGTTCGTTATGACATGTGTACTATGAGCTGCGCCCCAGTCGAGATGAAATGTACTACACATAGACTCCGACCCATTGCTTGGAGGTCTCGTCGAATGGTTTTAGACCCAACATTTTCGTGTTCTTCTCCTGCAATCTAATTGAACCATATCGCGGCAATTCCAATTGTCGGCTTTTCAATTAGAGTCTCACGTCTCGTAAATCTCGTGTTCATCGATCATCGTCAAACTAGTCATTTGTCAGCAAATGTTCGACCTCGTACGTAGCGAGAGCTGAAGGATTACGAAGAAAGGTAGGCATCAGGATCATCGTTCCTGGATCCGGCAGTCTTCTAAATCTCTCCAAGACCTTATTGTCCGACTTTCTGCTCCTCCCATTCCGCGGGGGGTACATGAACAGAGCCAATCGATTTGCCCAGCTTTCCCATGGTGGGAACGGGAAATCCCCAGAGTCGTTTCGAACCATTGTCGTCCAAAAATGAGCGTCTGGCAACCAGTCGCCTCTTTTCTCTGGAGTCTCCTTACAGAAACATACCCTCACGTTAATCAAGGGGATATCACCCGCTCCACGAGGGGGTACATGAAACCATGTCGAATACAAACTTTTATTCTGGTGCCACAGAACATCAAGAAAGAAAAGCCGAGGATTTACTTTGGCCAATAAATCTTTCGTCTCATCGCGAATTTGCCGGTTAACTAACATCATAGCCAACACGAAGTTGTATGTGTGCTGGGGCTGGTTATTGGACTGTGTCGCATGTTGGAGCAGATCGGAGCGAAGTGCTAGCCACTTTTTCCAGCCGTGCTTATCATCTGCGTCGTTATAATTTTGGGTGAACTTTTCCGCAGACTCTCGAAGGTCGTCAGCGGCGATGGTATGGTAAATGATTTCGTCCCGAAGCTCGCGCGGGAGTCCGAGAAGCGTCGGCGTAGGCCTCATTTTGGCGTTGTATTACAGACTCGAAAAGAGATCAATATGAAAAGTTTTCTCTAGTTTATGGAGGAAGGAAAAAGTTCTTCTTGTGAAGCCAAAATTACGATGACCTTGATGCTCAAAGGTGCGGTCAGCTGACCAACTATGTACCGTATAGTCACAAAAGCGATCAAGGTGTTTAATCGCCACAGCCCGATGTTTGTCTGGGTATCTAGCTGTCTGGCCGGACTGTATCTTCTGTCTACTTGCGCTGAACCCCCGGCGCAGGATTCCGGACCATGTCGAGCGGCCGGCCGAGACAGATCCTGATACCCGGCCGGCCGGAATATCGGCACGTTATTGAGCTCGCCGAGGCATCTATCATTGCAACAGAGTATTGTCTCTCTCTCTTGGTTAAGCGATAATTGCAAGCGACGCTGCACAGCTGGGATGAACACCGCCTCCAGCCTCTGTCCGACACCTCAATTCAACCAATCGCATTTCTCATCGCCAAGCCTCCCCGACGTCAAGGGTCCAGATCAAAGGTCATCCCAGCAAATGTTTAGACTGCCCATTGATCCATCGAACGGCCCATGACGTGAATCATAACCGCTACCAACCAGTCGCATCTCCCGGATCGGTTCTCCACGAGGCTAACGCTCGCCCGGGCCAACGAACCATGAAGCCGATCGTCCGCCGTCCGTTTTGTCTTTTCTTTCCAAGCAGCTGGGAATCTCCAAGGTCTCAGAAAAAGGGATTGTTGGTCCGTGATTGGGTGAAGCACGCAGGAAAAAGTGAAACACGCCACACTGAGACCTAGCCGCCCACCGCCGTTGGCTCTGCAATTCTCCGTCAAACGTTCGGCCGAGAAGCCGAATAGATTGTTTGGGACTTCGCTTCCTCTTCCATTTTGAGATGTGCCCTCCAACGGCTGGGATGCCCCCGCCATGAAGAAGCATTTTGCGGTGGAAAGCCTGTGTTTCTCAGCCACTCTGCTGCTCTCCTCATCATCGCTCCTTGCATTTCCCGTCGCAAATGAGCTCAAATGGGGTAAAAAGGCCTCGGTTAGATCTGGGCCCGCGATGGAGATGAGGTCGTCTCGATCGTGCCATGGGCTCCTCGGGCTGACGGCTGCCATCGCAAGTTGCCATGCAGTATAAGAATGGCCAGCATCGCATTCCCTCATCCCATCTCGATTTTGGCTTCGGCAGACTAGCAAGGAAAATCAGCGCGACATCCTCCCAAACTCTTTTTCGTGTTCGTTTTCTGCCCACGTTTCTAAAAACCACTTTTTTGTCCCTTCCTTCGTTCGATAGTTCAATATGGTTGCCTCGCCGGTCGTGGCTCTAGGCTTTCTTGGCGCTTTGCAAGGCGCCGGCAGTCCGCTTGTGCAGCGGCAAGCTACCGGCTGCGCGACGGGCGTGCACATGATTGTCGCTCGTGCCAGTACCGAGAGGCCCGGTACGGGCATCATTGGCGAGGTCGCGACCAAGGTCCAGGCCCAGATCCCCGGGTCCGATATCACACCGGTCGACTACCCGGCGCAACTGAACCCATACCAGCCGTCTCAAAAGGCCGGGGTTGATGCCATGACGAAGCTGGTTCAGGACTATGCGAAGCAATGCCCGCAGACGAAGATGGTGTTGATGGGATACTCCCAGGTAGTATGTCTTTGTCTAGCTGGATGACAGACGCTAATTTTGAATGTGATGCAGGGAGCGCACGTCACGGCCGATGTCCTCTGCGGAACGAGCGAATCTGGGTTCGCAGCCACGCCAGCCCAAGCGGCCGATGTCACTGATAAGAGTGCGTATAATGGTGTGGACAACTGGGCAGAAAAGGTCTAACTCTAGCATAGTCTCTGCCGTCGTGCTCATGGGCGATCCCAGCCACGTTGTTGGCCAACCTTTTAACACGGGAACAAGCCAGAAGGATGGCGTAAGTATACCCGGAGGAAGGACCAAACGAAGATAACAGAGTTGGCTAACGGATACACCCGTAGGTCTTCCCGAGGCAGGACAACGCCGCATGTGGCGCGGTTGCCAGCAAGATGACCTCCTTCTGCGATACCGGCGACCCATTCTGCGACAGCGGAGCCAACCTTCAGGTTCACCTGGGATACGTGACCAGGAACGGAGACGATGCAGTCAAGTTTATCGTGGATAAGGTTAACGGCGCCGGAGCTGCGGGTGGAGCGAAGAACACTACTGCTTGACTAGGAGACGCAGGGGCCGGCAGGTCCAGCCTGTTGTGTTTCCAGTATCATATCTTGCTGCTGGCACAGATTGTTGGATTCGTTCTGCTGGTAGCCGCTTGAGCTCAGGTCGGGATCTGTACCAAACGTATTTATATACCAAACACGCACAAATAATTGTTATCATAGGCCCCTGAAGATGCTGAAAAGACTGTAGAAGCTGGCCCGGCCCAGAGCACAAGGTCATTAGATAATGCTACAACAGTCTTAAAACGTGTTGTCGTCGCGAGGATTGTGGAGACCATGTGTCCAAGGCAGCACTGAGTTTACCTTGATCAAACGAGTTGGTACTCTTGACAGTACTCAATTCTTTCTTTCTTAAATTCGGAGTATAAGTGTCATGTTTCGCCGATTCTGTGAATAACCCCGCACGGGAAGACGGCTACGAGGTCTTCCCAAGGAATGCTTTCTTCAGTATGTTAAGGTTTAGAGATATGTGAAGCGTCCTTCGCAATCGAGATTATCCATCTTCTTAGCGTCGGACTCGCCCACCACCAAGTTCACATTCTGGTCCTTGTCTGCCTTGGCTTTGACGATCAAAACAGTAGTATTTCAGCCGGCGGCCAATCCTGCCTCCCAACTATAGCACAATGCAATGGAAGGGAATACATCGTCAATTAAAATCAAGCTCGTGATTATCGAGGAGGCTTACATTCCTGTTACGTTCTTGTTACCTGTAATCATAACTTACACGACAAGAAAACCTAACGGTGATCCCCATCCTCGAAATCCTTTAATTCCCCGTTGAATAGCTTTATATCTTTGTCATCCTCCGAGTTTGCCAGAGAAAGAGACGAGACACTGTTTTGCTCAAGAGTCAGATCATCGTCCAACTCAAACTCAGCGAATGCCCCTGGGTGGAACCTATTTTCCCGAAGAATCTCCCTAAGACCCTCACGATATTTCGGCAATGTCTTTCTCGAGTATGCCTCGAAAGCCCTGTTGGAGAACCAAGGGACTAGATCATTGACCGCGCCATGAACAGCTCGCTTGCGCGACTTTTAGATCTCCACGCCGTCTTTCATGGTCTTGACTCTACTCTTCAAGTACATAGCGGCGACTGCTTTGATGTTCTCCTTCGTAACTCCTTTGCCATACTGACTGAAAGCCTGATCCAAGATGAGGATCAGGTCACAGGCGCACTTAAGAATCATCCGCACCGCTGCTGGTGCCTCGAGAAGAGGGGCGCCAAAGGCAAGCGGGATCCCACCGACTACCGTGGTACAGGTGAGGCAGATAGCACCACCCCAGATGATGAAGGATTGGCTCAGACTCATAGCCATGAACGGCGCGAGGTTTCTCCAGACGACACCAGAAAGCACATCGTTGATGTCACCTATGCTGGCTTTCGGGATGCCGAAGGACCCATGCGCAATCTCTTGACAGAGCAGCTTTGAGATGGTGGGCGTAGTCATGGCCGAGACGACTCCGGTCCCGAGGCCAATCCCCGCAGCAGCTACTGTTGCTCTGAGGAGCTTGAGCGTCTTTTCAATGGCTTGGTCCATTTTTGCGTCGATATCCGGGACCTGGGCAGCGACCATTGCCTCAGATACTATTGGGCTGCTGAAGCTCTCCATGGTCATCTGGATCAATGCCTTGATGGAGTCTTGGTCGTCTGTGGCATAGTAATCAATACATGAATTTTGACGGGTGACATGCGTGAGGGTACATACCTTTGGAGACGAATGCGAAGTTAGCCTTGAGCTCTGGCCAAAATGGAGACGTCTCTGGCTCTTCGGCAAACTTCTGTCTGAAGATGGCCTCCCTTGCCGAAAGCAATTCCGTTTCATTCATTTTGCCCCGATTGAAGAGGAGATACTTGTCCTTCTTGGTACCAACAATAACAACGGGCGTCAAGGGGCAAATCTCAATGACTTCTTGCAACACATTCGCCAGCGCCGATTGGACTGGACGGTCTGTGTCCGTATCGATACATAACCTTGGAGACTTTGGTTAGATTTGATAAGTGAACAGTGGGGGATTTTACTTAACATATCGCATGAAGGTTCTGCTTAATATCCGGGCTGCCGGATCTCGCTTTCAGAAACTTCTTGAAGGCAGAGACCTCTTTGCTGTTACCTGCCTGGAAACCTTCCGAGTCGTGAATGATGATACCCGGGTGTAGATCCGACTCAAAGGCCTGCTCGATATCATGCTCGCCTCGTTGGTTGGAGTTCTCCTGAGTCTAGCATCTATGTTAGCGCTGGGGCAATACTAAAAGACCTCACGAATCCACCCACCATCGCAATGCCAAAGACACGGTTGAGAAGCGTGGACTTCCCAACACCAGTGTTACCACAGATCAAGATCCTGCAACTCGTAGACATCAAGAAGTCCTTGCGCCAAGGGTCGAAGGTCGCTTCTACCTTCTCCGAAAGATACTTCAAGCTGCTGCGGAATGATTCCAAGTGATCCATCAAACTGCCAAGAGCTTTGGGTATTCCCAGAGTGGGATAGCAATCAACTAAGAAATAGACGGATGGGTGTATCACCGTTCCGTTTGTAGCTAAACAGGCAGGTCAGCGGGATCTAATGAGCTGCGCAAGGATCGGTAGACACTAACAAATGTCGCTGTATCCCTTGAGATATCCACGTCTTTGGGTGTCGAAAATATGCCTGTTTCCTAGCGCGAAGCCCTTGAAACCCTTGTTCACAAGGACTTCATGCGTAGACCGAATCTTCTGCTCGCCATTCGGGCCCACACTTCTCTGGAGTCTCCGTCTCGGGACCTGCTGCAAGTTCCCGTGATTATGTGATTGCCGGAGATCGTACATCGTGATCTCAATGCCACTGGAGTACCTAAATGTCCACGGTTCAGTCTTGAGAAGACTCGCTGGAACATCGGCCTCTAAGACTTTGTCGCCAAGATCAGCAAGTTTCGGGGGCTTGGGGAAGGCGAGGTCCATAGGACTATCAATCAGACCCTTGATGCAATCAGGAGGATCATAATCAAGAACTAGACCCTGAGCCATGCTCTCAATCATCATCCACTGGAGAGGGTACAGTGACAGTCCGTCGTGATCAGTGCCTCCACCCATATCTGCATGTGCACCTACGAACCATGCCTGGATACAGCGGTGGTTGTTCTGTTTGACCTCGGTATTCTCGATCGGATCGATTGGAAGCAGAGGGAAGGTCTTTCGCTCCTCGTTTATGGCTAGGGCGTGTCTGATCTCGTTGGTGAAGCTAAGATCGGATATGTCAATAGTGTCTTTGCCGAAGGTCATCTTGACAGTGTCGAATAATCCAAGGAATCTGATCTTTGGAGGGTCTCGCGTGTTCTCACGGCTAGCAATCTTCGTCAGAATGACGCTGAACGGAACGAAGGAACGCATCGCCACTTACCGCCACCGGAACTCCTGCCCAGCTAATCCAGTCCTACGACGCCTGACCCCAAAGCTTTTGATCGCCTTCCACATTGAAGTATCCTTCACGTTCAGAGCTTCACGTATCGTGGTGTTGTTCAGAAGCACGGATACGGCCCGAACAACATCTGCATGCTCGTCAGCTTAACTCTCTTCCTCACGAATGCACCTTCTTACATGCTCCACGGCTGAACCCGAACAACCAAACCTCGTCATCCTTGGATTTGATCTCTCGGCAGCAGTACTGACTCTGATGAGCGACTAACATTACATTGTCTGCACTTCAATATCTGGCATAACTTACTGCATATACCTCTTGGATCTGCTCTTCGCAACCTTTCCCAGTCATTCCGTCGTTGAATCTATTCAGCGGCATCTTGTTGGTGCCGATTCCGGGGAAATACTTCGCAATCTGCAGACAGTCAACTACAAGCAAACCACCTCAAGGATGGTAGCCTTACCTGCTCAACCTCATTTCCATCTCCATCTGTCGTCTTTCCAATCTTAACGGAGGCGTAGATACGGAACACGTTGCTATTATTGCCATGGCCATGGCCTGTATGTGATTTAGCTGTTTCCTTGAACGTGCGATACTGACCCTTACCTTCACGTCCATCCTCGTTGAACCAAGTGCCGTCCACGCAGACGACGATCCTCCTGTAGCTTGACGGCCGGCTCAGCTTTTCCATGGCGATAAGTGAAATCTGGGCCGAAGATGTGAAGCATGCAAAGAAGAGAAGCTAAGCAGGCTCAAAAAGTTCAAAGAAACTGGCCAGGTAGCAGCCTTATCAGTGAATTGACAAGCGCACCCCACGTTTACAAACCTAGCTACCCGCGCGGAACCCCCATTCCAGATGACATTGGCTTCTCTGTGTGACGATACTGAAGGCAGACTGCAATAAGACTGCCTTAGCACGCAGCACTCACTCCGAGCAAGCCAATCACCGGCGTATTATTTCCCATCAGCTGAACAATCTACAAAAGGTGGCGATTCTCTTAAGTCGCTGGGTGGCTGAATAGCTCCTCACTCCACGCCAATCATTTAAGCGGCTTACATGCTGACAAAACACATGCCTGGAGATAATGCTCCTTAGAAGCCACCTACGCATGGGATTGAACCTCATTCAGTTATTGTATGTCATGATCTCAAGCAGACGGCTGTGAGATTGAGTTCGGGGCTGGAGGTAGGTGTGCCCCAACGAGGCTCTGGGATTCTTCCCCTGTATCACGCGTGATTTTGATTGGATCAAAGAGCGAGTTTCCCTCCAGGTATGCCGTGATTACGGCATATGCATGATCCGTATTTACATACAATACTTCCTGGGCCGACCTATGTCGTGACGCATTCCAAGATATCGGCGCAGACATTTCAGCCGCCCCGGACTTCAGTAAAGTCCGACTCGGAGGTATGGGCGGTCTCTGGCCATTGGTTTAGAAGCCATCACAAATCCTGAGAGGTGATTTGCCCCTTTCTTCTGGCCTGCGGCAACATGTTGGCTGTCACATGCTAGCCCTGACATGACTCTCACGCAACGTTCTTGGTGCCTGAACTTCGCCAAAACGCTGTTCTGGCTTTTGTCAAACAAGTTATCCAACTAAAATGAATGGAGAAGTGTGGTGCACTTTGTGATGTTTGGTGGCTCAGGGGATATGATCCAGCGCTGCCGCCAAAGCCAATCTATCAAACCTACTAACAAATATACCAAACAATTGAAGCTATTCCCAACTGTCAATTAAACAATTCCTGACCCCTCAGATTTGATATATTGGGTTGATTTGGCTTGGTATATTATAT